TATGATAATTGTTACTTTTTCATGAGATTTTCCCTGACCAACTGGTTTAAACTTGCAACCCCATGCCCCACTCTGTATCTTTTACTTCTGATTCATAGCTCTTACACAGTCTGATCTACTGTATATTTATTTATTTTGTTTGTTGTCTCTCCTTTGTATCCACAAGAACATAAATGAAGACAGAGACTTTATCTATTTCATTCAGTGTTGCATAACCAGCTCCAGAAAAATGCTTTGCATAATGTAGGTGCTTAATAGAAAGTTGAATGAACCAACAAACCGCAAGTAGATTTCTGTTTTGTAGCTTTGATAACCTGATAATAAGTACATCTGAGAAATGGGGTACATCAGTAACTTATTCTTCTTGGCTCCGTAGAGAATGTAAAACAGTGCTGTGATCCATAAACTTAAAATGGATTGCTACTCCTGGTGCTTTCAGAACATTTTTAAACCCCCAGCTGCAGTGAAAATTCAATGTGGAATTTTTGTTTTCTTTGGTTTCCATAAGGTTTTGAACTTAATGGTTGTCTTTGGATACAAGCATTTTTCATATCTCCTACCTCCCTTATTTATAAACCTTTATTATTCATGGATAATGAATAATATATTTTCTATATTTGCATCACATAGTAGGAGATGGTGTGGCACTGGCCTTAAGAACAATAGGTTTGGATTCACTTTGCCTGGTTTGAAGCCTGGCTCTGCTACTAATGAATTCTGGACTTTGAGCAACCTAGCCTCTATGAGGCTCAGTTTATTCATTTGTAAAATTGAAGAATCCTTGTTGGTAAGTTGGTTGTGAGCACTAAACAAAATAATGTATGTAAGCACCTAATCTAGTACCATGTACAATCCAAGTACTTGGTTAATGAGCTGTATGCTGCGTGATAAAACTATAATCTCACAAAAGTCTATGCTGGTATATACTGTGGGGCATTGTGGCAGAGAATACAGAGCAATGGTTAAAAGCTCTGGCTATGGAGTCCAAAGGGCACATGTTCAAATTATAACTTCCTTATCAACTCTATGATATTAGGCAGGTTATTTGACCTTTCTGAAGCTTAATGTCCTCATCTGAATTCACAAATGCTAGCAGTAACTCATTTGGGGTTTTATGAGGATTGTGTATGACAAATTAGGGAAACCTCTTAGCATATTTGTGCAATCATTGTCAACTATTATTAGCTTTAGCATTAACATTTTACAGTTATATGCTTGTTAAACAAAAAGAACATTTAAAGACTAATGATAGATTGTCAAGTATGAATTTTTAATGACAATTTTTTTTTTGGGGGGAAGCACCTAATACTATTTAAACTACTCCTTTTAAAAAGTTACCTTTGTCATTTTTCTTGATCTTGTTTTCTTTCTTTTTTTTAATATTTATTTTCAGTTGTAGTTGGACACAATACCTTTATTTCACTTATTTTTTTATGTGGTGCTGAGGATCGAACTTAGGGTCTCACATAAGTGAGGCAAGTGCTCTACCACTGAGCCACAATCCCAGCCCCTTGATCTTGTTTTCTTAAATTGTATTCCTAATTGAGATAGTGGGCTTCCTCATCACATTCCCTGTAATGCAGAAAGGAAGGTGAATCAGGTAATGCTGGAAAGATGTTTGTTTCGTTGTTTTGTTTTTCTTTTAAGGTTTAAGAAAGCATTTCTTTTGTACACCTAGAAAATACATATTAATATGTACATATATATGGTTCTATAGAGCAGGCAACCATATTTGAATATATGAAGCTTGTCTTTTGATAAGAGACAAGCAGATTTTTAAAACATGCCAATGATGTTTTATTTAAAAAATCATATTTACCTTTGTATTTAGTTATCTACCTTTGGCAACATATTACTGTAAATTTTGTAGCTAAAAACCAACATTTATTATCACCCAGCATCTATGGGTCAGAAATTTGGCAGTGGGTCTCATGAAGTTCTAGCCAAGGGATCAGCCATTGACCATAGTCATATGAAGGCTTGATTGAGGATGGAGGATTAGCTTTCAAGATGGTTCTGGGCAGAAGGCCTCATTTCTGTACAAGTTGTTGGAAATTCCCATGGGACTCTTTCAGTGTTATGATGTCATGGCAAACTGGTTTCATTAAGAAATGATCCAAGAGAAAGAGCAGGAAGAAGCTTCAAGGACTTTTATAACCTAGTCTTAGAAATCAGAAGCCATCCTTTCTGAGTGACTAAATCCAGCCTACCCTTCAAGAATGGAAGGAGTAGCAAAGAATTTTTGAACTTTAAAAAAAATTTGCTGTCATTATTTTAAATAATGCTGAATTTTATTTTATATTTACTCAGTGCCCTCTCTGTGGGTGTATCCACTGTCCTCAGTGGATAGATGTAATGCTACAAATAAAACAATTTACACTGATTTCAAGTGTACCCGTGTATTTATGGGATAAATTTCTATAAATGAAATAACTGGATTATAGGTGTGAGTAATTTTAAGTTTTTGCCTAGACTTCATTGAGCAGATGATGTTTATTGTTTGACTAGAAATGCATGGGTGTTTCTTCAAAGTGTCAAACATAGTATGTATAAACATTTGGAAAATTTTAAGATATTAGTGTAATGAACAATTTGCCATCTCACAACTATTAGCACTCACCAAAGAGAGAGACAGAGAGATAATCTCTTGGATGGGCATTTTGATAACTCCTTTCCTTGTCAGTGATAATAAGGTTACTCTTTGCCTTATTAATTAATTTAATTATATCAAGTGTGGAAGACCATTAATCTTTATGGAATTTTGCAAGCAAGATCAATATTGTAAAATTTCTTATAAAGCCTTTGAGAATGTGAGGTAATGGAAACAGTCTAGGTAAGAAAGACTAGAGTTGGGGCAATTTATTTTAGAAAACAGAAGGCAATCTTTACTATAGAGAAGGGTAGCCCTCAGCTCCATTTCCTAAAGTAACAGTGAATTACATTGACTAACAGCAATTTCTTATTAATTTATGAGAAGCAAATCCTTTTGTCATTGAATCTGTGGGCAAAAATACTGAAGAAGACTGCTTCTTCCTGAGAATAATATGGGAGGACACACTGATAGATTGGAGATGAAATAGAAGACGAACAGTGTCTAAGTTAGGGGGTCATAAATTAATTCCTGAGAGGAGAAGGAAGGGCAAGTTCTTCTTGAATAAAGGAATGTGTCTTGTAAATCTATTCAACCTGGGGAAGGAGTGGTGGGTGGGTAGGGAAGAAAGTAGGCCTTGAGTAAGCAAAATTGCTGCTCATGGATCTTCTTCTTAGCTCTGTGCACCTGAATGCCAGGTAAAATATCAGCCACCTAACACGTGGGGCCATAAAGCATATAGCAGATAAGGAGATCATATCAGAACAAGTTGATAAGGACAGTGATTAACTGTATACATCCGCCACTCCTCTGTGTACTCCATTGAGTAGCATGAGAATTGAGCTCTCCTGATAATCACTTTCCAAAGCCTCTGCCTCTTAATACTCTCACACTGGGCATTAGGTACCATATGCATTTGGAAGGAAATATCTATTCAACTCACAGAAACAATGAAATGTTTTTATATTTTATATTTTTCTTTGAAAGTGAAAATCCTCCAAGATTGCTTAGAGGACCTTAAGAGGCAACTCGTGGTTAAGATGATACATAAAGTGTTTGCAGTTCTAAAATTCTGGGTTAATCTCATCAGCTCTCATCTAAACTATGGTTTCTAAATGTTCTTCCCACTAAAAGGGACCATGACTCTTTACAGATGTTTGATTTCAGATTGGTGGATTGGAAATGTACGAGATGAGCCTAGGTGATTGTGTTGTGCAGAAAGGAAGAAAACTAACAAAGACTCTTAGGGTTATACCAACAGGGTTTAGGACCGACTTAAAGAGGCTGCTGCTGGACAAAGCTGTAAGATATTAGAATTAATATTATCAGTGGATTAATGCAGATCAAATATGTTTAAATTCATGGTTTCACGAGGATGCTTAAAAACAAGTCATTGTTCCCCTTTACAAGATGCTAGGAAAACAACTCCTTATTTTGAAAGCCAGTAAATGAAGAATTCAACATGCCACCAGTCCCTTGTGAACTGCATCTTTATTACCAAATTATAGGGAAAATTTCTGTTTATTGAAATATTCTAACAAATAAAGAATGAAAGAATTGCAGCATCTTTATGAACTGAATAATAGGGTAGACTTTTATTTATAGAAATATTTTATCTAATAATCAAAGAAAGAATGAAAGAATTACAGCATCACAGGGAAAAACATCATCAAAAGAGAATCATCACTAGATTTTTTTTTATCTCCTGCTAGAAGATGCTATACCATCTATGTACCATTGCTACTAAACAATCAAACCTGAATCTGATCAAAACTTTATATCTAAAAGAGCAGAGAAACACATTAGCATTAATGCATATGCAATTAAAAATCCTAGATTGTGGGGAAAAACTACAGAACAAACCTTATTGACTAAAAATGACCGAGACATAAACCAATTGCAATGTATAAATCTTACTTGTATCTTTATGAGGATAAAACGAGCAGACTTTAACAGTTTATCAGACAATGAGGTGAATTTAAAAATTGACTATATATTTGATGACATTAAGGAATTCTTGCAAAATATTGCAAAAACGTTTTAGGTGTGATCATAGTATTTTACTTGTCTTATAAAAGTTCTTATCTTTTAAATATTGAAATATTTTCAGATAAAATTTCTGAAATCTAGGATTTTCTTCAAAATAATCTAGAATTAGGGAGGCAAGTAAGTAGGAATAAAGACAAAATGAGACTGATTATGAATTGATGATTTTTAAAATTTAGTTGATGGGTACTTGGAGTTTTGTTATATTATTCATTATATACATTTGAGATTTTCCATTAACAAGCTGCTAGGTATGTATACAAATCTAAATTTGTTAAATCTAAAATTATAAATTTATAAATTACATGATAAAATTATAATTATAAAATTACTAAATCTAAAATTATTTTCATTCCTTTTATAGATGGCAAGAAATAAATTGAAAAAATTCACTACTTTGGAGATTATCCTTAGTGTTCTTCTGCTCGCAGTGTTCATCATCGCTGTTGTTTTAATTGTGCTTTTAGCAACAGGTTCTACGGAATCAAAAGGTAACAAGTAACTCTGGGCTTTCCCTCCATTTATTTCTCTTATCAAAGTAAAACCATCATCAATGGTAGGGAAGCAGTGCATTTGTATTCATTGGTGTGAGAGTGTGTGTGTATACATACATGTGTGCAGGTGTGGTATGTGTTTGGGGGAACATCTAGCTAATACTGTGGAAGCTCAATAGCTTTTCCTTACAGGCTTAAGTTCTGAAACCTTAATTTCCCAATTTAATTAGTGCACTGGGTTAAATTTCACAACTGACACTTAAAATATATTTGCTGAATTTTTTTGAAGAATTCTGATTCTATTAGTGATAGTGAATAATATACTGTGTGAAAGGGGATCAAATAAGTATGTAATCAAAATATTTTATGACTGTTTGGTTCCTTAAAAAATTCTCCCCAAGTCATCTTAATAAAAGTTCATTACATTATTATATCCCCAAAGATGGTCTGGATTGTGCTGAACTATCCAGGATTTCCCATCTTGTTTATCTAGGAGCAACTTCTTAGGGCAATCAGGCAATGAAGGTCAACCCGTGGCTAGAGGAAAACCTTCTCTGTCTCCTGCCTCACCCCCAGCTATAGAAATTTCTACTTTTCATGGAATACTAGACTGGATAGAGTTTGTTTAATTCTATGAATCTGAAAGTGTAACTAAAACCCTTATGCCGAAATTGGTTCAAATATGGAGTTCATTTAATTCACCACATTTGAATTGGAGATCCTAGTGAAAAGAAAACAATGAAAAACAGCATTGTTGTGTCTTAATGTCATTATTAATGTATTGCAGATTGCCTCAAAGAAAGCTAATTTCTTTATTTTAGAATGCAATAAAAGTGTCTTTTCTATTACCTGTCTTTTAATGTGAGATCAAAGGTTTCAGCCCTGACATAGGTTCTAGCTGCCAGTTTCTAGATTGGTGGATTCCCCTTACATTTTTTTTCCCATACAATACTTTGTATTTACAGGAGACTGGCATTGCTCAGATGTGTTCTCTGAATTGAGGTGGACGATTATCATGGAACTGAACATGTTCAGTGTGTACCAGCTACTGGGGATAGGAATAGAGCAGACTTTCCTGTAAAGGACCAGATAGTAAATATTTTAGATTTTGTGGGCCATGCCATCTCTATCATTATTACTCAGTGCTGCCATTGTAGCCTAAAAGCAGCTATAAACAAATGAGTGTGACAGTTTCAGCAATACTTCATTCAAAAAACCTGATTTGGTCTGCAGGCTATAGTTCGCTGACCCTTAGACTAAAGGGAAGTTGGTTCCTACTTTTATGAACTTCAGATCGAATGGTGTAGTTCTTTGTTTTGCATATACTCTCTTGTAGGGGAGGGGCAGAAGGGTAGAAGAAGATGATGCCAGCATAGTAGAGGTAAATAGAGTCAGCAAGAACAAAGGAAAGTTTTATAATGTGAAAATGCATAACTGTTGAGGATACCAGAGTAAGTCCAGTCAGTAGTGGAATGAATACGATTGCAAGTATTGGGAACAGCGAGGCCTTTGAATGCTTGAATGTTTGTGATACTGCTATGTCTGTGTGATGGTCATTTTATGTTTGTTTTTGGGATAGCCCCAGATCCTGGGACCACAAGTATCACCCCTAATTCTACTGAATGCCCAGTGGTAACTGAATCTGAACGGATAAACTGCATCCCTGACCAGCCACCAACAAAGGTTTGACTCTTGGATTTTTAAATTTAAGAATATATACCACTGAATGGTTTTTTTTTTTTTTGAACTTTTTGTGGCTTGTCTCAGAGTCTCAGGTATATTAACTCTATATTCATGTTTGTGTGACTTTATAGCTTCAGGAGAGGAAGAGCTGGAAAATTCCCTTGGATTGCCAGATTCAAATAAATGTACATGTTGCTCAGTTAAATTTGAATTTCAGAAAAACAACAAATAAGATTTTAGATAAGAATGTCACTTGTGAGATTTGAAACTTACTAGAAATACATTTACATTTCATCTGGCAAGAGTACTGATGATTAGTTCTCTTTGATTCCGTCACTGCATTTGTTCTTGCCCTCTATTTCCCTTCTTTCTGAATTCCAAAGTGTTATCGAGTGTATAATAAAAGTCATACACTTACATTAAACATGATTTAAAATAAGGACAAAGGTTTCAAGAGCTATGCTTTGGAAGGAAGAAGGCAATTAATACAAGGGCAAAGATAATGCAGCACGTGGGCATTTATGTTAGTATTTCTTGATCACTGACTGAAGGGCACCTGATTATCATAATAAACTTGGCACACTCCCTGTCAGTTACTTTTTACTTTGAGAATAAAAATGATATCTGAATGAAAACCAAGTGCAGCCTTTTGAATGAAGTCCACTGATATGATGTGTCAGATGTGTATCAGATACAGAATGGATCTGTATGGCACTCCCACACTCATCTCCATAGCCATCCCATTCTTAGTGGACTGCAGTAATCTGTGAAGTTCTAGGGAGTTACTTTTTTGGTTTCTCTAAGGGGCTTTTATATTAAAAGATATTTTTTCTTTCCTATTAGAGGATAAACCTCCACTAGTGGATTAATCTTCTTGGGAGAATGGGGTGAGGTAGAGGGGGGTATGATATGAGAGGTAAACACATCAAAATAGTCATCTTATTTATCTCAGGTAAAGGTGAGTGAGTGAAGACAGTGAGGAATGAGACCTCAGTCAAAAATCACGATACCTCCCCCCATATTTAAACACTTGGTGTTTTGCAGCCTACCTTCTTCTTCATTTTTTTTTTTTGAATTCTTGTAGTTGTAGTGGACAGCATGTCTTTATTTTATTTGTTTATTTTTATGTGGTGCTGAGGATTGAACCCAATGTCTCACACGTGCTTGGCAAGCACTCATTTGTGTGTGTGTGTATGTGTGTGTGTGTGTGTGTGAATGCACTCCAGGGGTCCTTTTCATGTGTCTCAGAAGAAAAGCTCATCCAGTTATCTAGATCTAGTCCTGATCTTTAGCTCTGGGCTGGCAGCTGGTTAGAGGGCATTATCACTGGATGCCTTCCTATCACACCTGAATTCATTATTTTGTTTTCCTTTTCTACTGTAAGGGTTCTGTTAGTAGTTCTGTTATGCTTCTGGTCTTTGAGTCAGAATCAGCAGAACTTTTGCTTAGCTCTTCCCTTCAATTGCTAACTGGTGTTAGGAAAAGCAGTGAGCTGTAAAATCCCACAAATAGACTTATGTTATCCCTCTGACCAGTATTTCAAAACGGCCCTTCAATAATATTTTCCAGAATAAGTACTTCATTTTCATTCTCAACACATTATTAGATCATCGTATTCCAGTAGCCTCCTAGCATCTCTCTGAATTCCATTTCATTTATTCCATTTTGATTAAACATGATTAAAACTGTTCTCTTTAACATTCTACTTTGATTGCATTTCTACCCAAAACTCCTGTACTTATAGAAGTTCATTCTGCATACTGGGTCAAGTTCAAATACTTTGTTTTGTCCTCTAAGGTTCTCTTTATCCTTTTCTAGGCCTCTATAACTTCACTTAGAACACACACCCATGAAGATTTTAGACACAGGTTTCTACAATGATTTTAAATCTATTAGTTTTGAAAGTGCCAATCACTTTCCTCATCCTTGATCTTTCATCTCTAATTTCAGAACTCTGAGTTAAAAGATTGCATTGATGGAAGAAAGCAGAAACATTTAGCTGAATGCCAGATACCTATCTCAGGAAGGAGATGGTAGATAATAATTTTAAGCACTTTGATTTTTTAAGTTTAGAATGTATTGTGAAAACATGGGAGTCCAGGTTTACATGCTTACAATAAACCTGTGTGCCCTAAGTAACCATTACAAAATGCTGAAAGCATTTTGCAATTAAGCATTTTCCATAGACAATAATGGTAATATTTATTACCATGATATTTGAGAGGTAAGGTTAACATATTTTCTTGCTCAGAAACTTTATTATCTTTTGTAGTAAACACTTTCTAGCTACTTATCAATTTTTTATTTGGCTTATAGTTTCTTTTTCCCCATTCCAGTTTCTTATCAATGTATTTAAAGGATTCAGTTTTATGATATTACTAGTAAAGATGTTGCATTTTGCCAAGATCATTATGAGTCTCCACCCTTAAAATTACTTTGTGTTTACATATCATCAGTTAAGAGCCATTAACTGGTGCTAGGAAAAGCAGTGAGCTATAAAATCCCACAAATAGACTTATGTTTATGATTTGCTAGTTGTTGCTAGTGTAGACATTGAGTAAGAGCATGGTAGGAAAACCAGAGTACCAGGTTTTTATCTTGGCTTTGCTGCTGAAATATCTATGACTTGATTCCTATCACATTTCCTTGCATACTGTCAAATGTGTATCAGTGATTGAGACAATGTGTGCTCAGATAAATTGTTCCTTAAGAAAATGACTACTAAACACTCTACTGAATTCTGTGATTAAAAAGATTTTAGAATTTAGTGACCTCTAAGGTCTTGGGAAATGTTCTCTGGAGATTGATCATATTCTAATTTGGGACACGTGAAAGTCTAAACCATGGAGAGGACAGAGTGACATATTTGTTTAAGTCTTGCTGCATCCTCACAGGGAAGAAGGCAGGAGGGGTCCACCTGCATAAGGGCCCCTAATCCCATTCACAGGGGAGGAGCCCTGGAGGCCTTACCACTTCTTAGTGGCCCCACCTCTTAGTATCATTGCCTTGGCAACTCCTGCATTTTGGAGGGGACACATTCAAACCATAGCACCAGCTTCATGAAAATTGCTCTAAGTCCTCTGTTTCTTACAGAAGAGTCTCTCTATTTTTTTTAACTACTGAGAAACAAACTACTCCACACTTAGTGACTTAAAAAAACAATCAATTGATTATGTCCCACAATTTTATAGGTCAGAGACTTGGCAGGTTTTGGCAGTATAATTCTCATAAGAGGCATTGACTAGGATTACTTGGTTGTTTCAGTTGGTGGCTGATCTAGTTGGGATGTTTTCAAGATGGTTTCATCCACACGGTTGGCTCCTTGGCTATAAGGGGGACCACAGGCTCCTCTACCCTTCGACATAGTCTGAAATCTCTCCTGTTGGTCTCTCCAGCCTGGCAGTGAACTTCTTACATGATAGCTGAGGGCTACAAGGAAGGAGAGAGCTGCCAGCCTTCTTGAAGTAAAAGCCCAGAAGCAGTTTAGCATCACTTTTTCTGTACTAAGTTGATTAAATCAGTCATAGGCCAGCCCACATTTAATAAGAAGGGGTGCAGGTACCCCCTCTTGATGGGAAGAGAACTCGCAGCCATTTTTTTTTTTAGAGAGAGAGAGAATTTTAATATTTATTTTTTAGTTTTCAGCGGACACAACATCTTTGTTTTTGTATGTGGTGCTGAGGATCGAACCCAGGCCGCACGCATGCCAGGCGAGCGCACTACGCTTGAGCCACATCCCCAGCCCCTCGCAGCTATTTTATACAGCTACAGAGGAATGCTTATTTGGCTCAGAATAGGCCTTAATAACTGTAAAGATTGGTAAACTACTGAAAATACAGATCAGAGTGGGGTGGAGTAGCAGAGGGTGTGAAAATAAAGAAAACACAATATTGAAAGAGCTTTTCAAAGTGGAGTGGAGCCTTAAGGAAGCTGGACTTCCACAGGATTCTAGCTGTGATAAATTTCAGTCACTTTCAGCCTTTGACTGTAGGCACAAGGATCAGATAATTACATTGTGCCCAGCAACTCAATATGCATATCAAGAGATTATCAGGCTCCAGTTTTATGGACACTTTTACTCATATATATTCTTTTTTTATTTTATTTTTTAATTTCATATATATTCTTTTCTTAGTGTTCTGTCAATCACTTAACCCCTGTTCTGAACTCCAATAGAAACACCCCCACACCAAGAGATTTTTACAGTTTTTTAATAAAATGATACTGCTTGCTCACATAAGCTCCCACCTTTCCTGTCTTCCTCAAACACAGATTCATAGCTATCTGAATCTGTGCTTCCTGAACTGCAATTCCTAAAAGCCAAATTAAGTTTTTATAGTTGTAAAGTTTCTGAGTTTGAATTAACAAGATCAGAGTTCCAGAGTAAGATGTTTCTGCCACAAAGGGAAAGTACATTTAACATCATTTCTCTATGCTATTTTGTTCGAAGGTATTTTGGTGAAAATATGGTGTTTTTAGTCTGTCTTTTCATTTTATTAGCATGATTTTTATAGTTTTTTTGGTAATCCAGTATATGGAAGGTTGGAAAATAAGTTGGGACTCACAGAAAAGGAAGGAGGTCAAGAAAATAGATAATTGTTTTTCTCAGTGCTCTATTAGCACTGAACTCCTTTGAAGTAATAAATAACTTAAGATATCCAAGAATGTAGAACTACAATCCAGGTTAAGAGATAAAATAGAACCAGCAAAGATGAACTCCCCTGTATTCCCCTCTGTAGCCAGCTCCCTTCCCAGCTCCCTCTGCAGAGGTGACCACATTCCAAAGTTGAAATCCATCATGATTCCTTTGTACCATCACTATTTAAAAGATATACTTATAAGCAGTAGGTATACTCAATTTCTAAACAAAAATGCATGCTTTGCAATCTTTTTCACTTAGCATTGTAAGATTTATCCAAATTGATATGTATCTCTTTAGTTCATTTGTGTTCACTGTGAAACAGTGTATCAAAATCATCCTTTCTTTGGATAAAAGAAATTAGTTTTTCTCTAATATGCTATGGTTGTAACGATGATATTATGACTAGTTCTGTAAACATTTTTACTTACATGTGTCTGATTTGGGGTATATTGCTTCAAGTGTACTAGATATTTTCAAATTAATCTCTAAAGTGACTATAATTTACCGTCTTACTACAGTCTCTGCATTCCTAAGAACATTGGAATTGACAGTCTTTTTAAACTTCGACACTTTAAGGTTATTAAATAGTATCCCTTTGTGACCTTAGTGATAATTTTCCTGAATGGGTGAACATCTTTCAGTTATTTCTGTGAATTTTTTCTTTGTTCTTAATTATGTATTGAAATGTTTATCTTTTTGATGTGTACAAGTTTTTTTATTTGTTCATTCATATTTTTTCTAAGTCTTATTTATATTACATATGTTGCAAACATCTACTTTGATGACGTTTTGATGAAGTGTTTTATTTTGAGAAAATGAAGCTCCTCAGGCTTTGTGGTTTTGTGATTTGCTATCTATGTATTCTAGTGGGATTAAATGCCTACAGGTGAAAAGGAAGAAGTTTCAAATTTAAAAAGAAAATAAAGGATGCAATATAACAATAATTGAATTATTTATTCTAAATTTGTCCTTCAAATTTTCTTGGATCTCTTCCTGGACAATGTTAAATCTCAAATAATGATGACTTGATGTCGTCCTGTTCAGTCTTATATACTCTTTTCTTCTTGTCCCTTGTGTTGTTAGGACCTCTGATGTATTTTTAAACTGCAAGCACTAAAACATATGGGCCATGTAGGCTTTTTTTCCCCCCTGATTTGGAAAGGAATGCTTTTAACATGTCATCATTTATTATGATAATTATTATAGGTTTTTTTGTAGATTCCTATTATCAAATGAATGAAGTGACTTTTTAATCCTAGTTTGCTAAGAATTTAATCATGAATAGCTGATGAATTTAAAGGACTATATGACATACTTCATTTGATGATTTATGATGATGAATTACACAAGTTGGTTTTCTAATATTAAAGTTCTTTATTTCTGGTAGAAACTTTGTCATTATTTAATCTTGCTGATTTCTATTAATGTTGCATATGCTTTTTTTTTCATTTAGGCTTTGTATTTATGAACATGGATTTTCTTTTCTGTCTACTTTTCATTTCTTTTGTGGTTCTGGGGACTTTGGGTGTAAAATACTTGCTCCTTTTATTTCTTCTCTCTTTTAAATGTCAAGGAGGGTTGATTGGATTTTTAACAGTGACTTCAGGATCTGGTTTCTTTCCATCTGATCTTTGTGTTGATGCAAGAGCCTGTATACCATCATGCAGAACCCCCAGTGGATAAAAATGTACAAGAGCTGAAGTCCCTTATTTAAAATGGATATAATATGCACATCCTCCTATATATTATAAATCATTTCTAGACTATTTACAATACCTTAATGCAGTGTAAATGTTATATAAAGAGTTGTTATACTGTGTTGTTTAGGGAGTAATTATAAGAAAAAAAAGCCTACACATTTCAGGCACAATTAAAAAACACTTTTAATCTGATGTTTGTTAAATCCTTGGGTATGGAACCCATGGATATAGGGGGCTGACTATTATATAAAAAGTGAAATATCTACATTTTTGGTCTTCTTTGTCTATCAGTTTCTGAGGGCAGTACCATAAAGATATTCTATTATGTGCTATCTCCCCCAGTTTTACCTTATGAGTTTGAAATATTTTTCTATATATTTTTTGAATTTTTTATTGTTAGTACATATCAAATTTGAGGTGTGAGATGATCCTGGTGGATTGAAATCATGCCATGACTCTGTCTCCCTAACAATGAATATTAACTCAATATCTATCTGCTATTAATGCCAATTTGTTACTTAGCATGCTTTTTATATGTGTGATCCCCTTTTACTTCCAGTGCTTTTTCAAACCTAAGTTTTGGATATAGCACCTATAAAAAACTTTTATCTAAATTTAGTTATTTAAATGTAATCTGATTATCTTTGTTTTAAAAGTATTTAAACCATGTGATAATTGACATGGCTTTCCCTCTTAGGTTTTGTGCTTTCCATTTGGTCTTTTTTTTTTTATGTCCTACTTCCTGCCCTGGAGTCTTCAAAAGCAGGTGTATTCTTTCCTTATTGTCTGAACAGAGGATTTCTGCCCCCATCCTCATTTCCTCCTCAGTACTGTATTGGTAGTTACACATTCTATATTGTTTTGGCAGTACCTGTTAAATTTTAATTCTCATACCCAACTAAAGGGGCATTTTATATCTTGGGTCTAATTTGCATTCATCTTATTCATGTCATCATTCTCACAGCTTCCCTCTAAAACCGTTTTCTTAGGATTTACAAGTCATATGGATATTGCTGTGCTTCTCCTGCTTCCCCTAATTGCTGTGTTTAATGGCAGGAGCTGGTGTTTTTGAGTTGGCCAAGAGAGGCTGTTTACTCTCCTTACTGCTTTGACCACTTTGCTCTTTGCCCTTTTCAGTTCAATGAAAAAGTATTAAGCTCTGGGGAGTGTGCAAAAAGCCATTCTGCTTAACACTACTCTCAGTGTCCTTCTCTTTTTCTGTATAATGACTTTGCATCTAAATGTGCTTTGAAAGGAAGGAACAAAATCATAACTGCTGATTAGTTCATAGTGAAAACTGATCTTACAGCAAGATAAGTCACAAACAGACCATTTTTTTGACCCTTAATACAAATTGAACATCCCTAATGCAGAAATCTAAAAACCCCAAATGCTCCAAAATCAAAAATTTTTTGAGCTCCAACGTGATACCACAAGTGAAAAATTCTACATTATGGAACCTTGTTTCATGCACAAAATTATTTTCAAAATTGTATAAAACTATCTTCAGGCTATGTATTTTGTAAGGTATACATGAAAAATGAATGAATTTTGTGTTTAGACTTGGATTCCATCCTGAAAATATGTCATTATGTGTATGCAAATATTCCAAAATTTGAAAATCTGAAATTCAAACCATTTCTGGTCCCAAGCATTTCAGATAAGGGATACACAACCTGAAATTGCTATTAATGTAAAAGTTAGTGTTTGATTAAACATAATTGCTCAAATAGCTCAACATAACTGTTTTTTCCCTTATCATTTTTAAAACATTGCTATATCCTCTTAAAGGTGTGCGTAGTGGTATTCAACCCAGAATTCAGAAAAAAAAAAAAAAAAGGAAAAGGACAGGGAGAAATTTAGTTTTGGTCTTGTCTTCTCAATAGCCAAGTACTTTCTGGTAGGTTATTTCATATCTGTGAACCTTTACCCTCTGGGCCTTGGGATCTTGATCTGTAAATGATATGGTAGGATGTACGAGTTAGCTACTATTGTGTAATAAATTATACCCAAACTTAATGACTTAACATAATAAGCCTGATTTTCTTGTAGTTTCTGTAATTGAAAATCTAGGTTTGGTTTAGCCAGGTGCCTCTGTCTCTGAGTCTCTTAGAAGACTGCAATCAAGGACTCTTCTGGAATTATGATGATCTTTGACAAGGTTGCTCATGTGATTGTTGTCAAGAGCTAGCTTCTTGGGGGTTGTTGAACTGAGAACCTCAGTTCTTTGCCATGTGGGCCTTTTTTATTATATGATGACTCCTTCCAGAGTTGAATATTCCAACAAAGAAAGTGAAAGGGAGAAAACAAGACAGAAGTCACAATCTTTCTGTGATCTCTTCTATGAAGTGAATCCCGTTATTTTCTATTAGCTCCAAGTCCCTAGATCATCCCACATAGAAGACTAGAGATTTCTATAATGTGCTTTTTTCTTGTAATTACATTTGCTTCTTTCCCAAAATTAGTTGGTGTGAGAAAGAGATTATATTCATTTTACTCTCCACTTGACTTAGTCATTAATTGTGGCATAAGGCAGGCACTTTTTTAAAGGAAGAATTAGGATCTATTTGAGTGTAAGGAAAGATTACTTTCTGCCTTGGTAGGAGCCAAGAGACCATAGATATGTCACATGTGTGGAATGCACACAAATATGCAACATATACATTTAGAAGTCAATGCAAATTTTGTTTGATTGAAGTTTTCTGAGTAAAATTCATTGCAGAGTATTTTTGATTTTAAAGGTCAAAGCTAATATAAATGAAGTGTTGTTTGTAATTTTAGATTACTGGTGACAAAACAATATTATACTTTAGAATTTTAAAACTATTTATCAATTTTAATGTGATGAAAGACATGGAATGCATTGTGCTTCCTATACTCTTTCACAAGGAAAAATTCCTTGTGAATAGAAGCTACTGGGGATATAACATACATAATTTCTCTAATGATTAGTTTCCTTATTTGTAAAATGAATTTATTGATGTCCTAACCCCAAATTAGGTGATTTACATTTTCTGAAATATAGTGTTTCTGAAATATAGTGTTTAGTTCTACAACTAAATGGAGTTATTTTGACTCATCTCTTGTTTCAGGCTACATGTGACCTGCGTGGCTGCTGTTGGGAAGCTCAGGGAACCATAGGTATTCCTTGGTGCTACTATTCTAAGAATCATGGCTACCAAGTGCAGGGGGATCCTGTAAACACAAATGCAGGTAAGAGGCAGCAGCTCCAGACCTTCTGAAGGCTGGCTTTGTATTTCCCAGAGGAGCCCTGTGGCAGCACACAGGGGAATGCTGTGCTGCCACACCACCACATGTGACAGAAGGTGGCACTGCTCTTTTCAAGAATTAGACTTATTTTGACACCAAACAGCTATCACCCTCTGTCTTGTGAGTCAAGAAACCGTGTTCTATTCTAGCTTCACCTTGATGTACCTTTATGAACTTGTGTAATTGTCATAATCTTTTTGGTTCTCAAGTTTATCACTTTTAAAGTGGGCAATTTTAACTCAGCTTTGAGATTAATTTCAATTCTAGTCTTATTTTTTACAAAATGAAATGATTTACAATTTTATAAATATGTTACAAAAGTTACCTAGTCAATGTCAGTGCTCATGGGCTGATCATGCCCTCTTATTCCTCCAAACCCTAAAATGAAGAGCATCACCATGAACATTGTGGGGGTAACAGTGGTGACTACTCTGGGCACGCTCCTAGCATGAAGGATAAGGCCTATTCCTCTTCCAGATGCTCTTGGTCTGATGGGCTTTTCTATAAGGCCTCAGCTGTCACCTGATTTTCTGTTCAATTAGGGAGATGACTTTAATGTACATGATCACCTATAATGGAATATGAAAATAACTGAGAAGGAATAATGAATATATGCTGAAAAGTAAAGAAAGAGTATCTGATCAATACAGAATGAGTCTGTTAGAATAAGAATTAAACCTTTGGGGGGTTTCAATCATATTTTGTAGAAGAGAGGCATAGGTTTTTGTACAAGTTAATAATAGTTCTTAACTTTGGGATCTGACCTAAGATAGTATGTATGTATGAATACCTTTGCCTTTTTTCTTCTTTGGCAAATAAAACATTTTAATCAGTCCCTTACCTTAAGCTTAATTTTTATTTGGCTGTTATTTGCAAATGTATAATGTCAGCTATGAAAACCTTTTCTCTCCTACATGTTAGGATTCACAGCCCAGTTGAAAACTCTGCCTTCTTCATCCCCATTTGGAAATGATGTTGACAACGTTCTTCTCACAGCCGAATACCAGACATCCAACCGTTTCCACTTTAAGGTTATAGTTTGTTTACTTTAAAAAAAATCTTTAAGAGGCTCTTTTTTCCCCACCTTATGACTATAGTTTTGACTAGGTAGAAAATTTTGCTAATGTAGGTACTTTTCTCTGTTGTCATTATTATTTAGTACTTGTATATTGAAGTCATCTATAGTCTTCCTTCTATGTGATAATTTCCTAAATAAGTATTACAGAGTTCATTGGTGCACTTTTGACTTTCATTTATTTGCCCTAGATACCATGTGAAATGTAGTAGCCAAAATCAAACCAAAACAAAATAAGAAAAAAGAATCAGAATTATCACAGCTTTGAATTTTCTAGCGATGAGCCATCTCTGCAGACTTGCACTATACAAGCCTAACTCATGCTCAATAGTTAATCATTTGAAGTTGGTAATGTAATGAATACATTCTTAGGCAAAATGCCAGTTCCTGGGAAGCATTGGTGTTGGTAGGGATAATTATATTTTGGAAAATCAGAAAGGTTTTGATTTTTGGCTTTCTTTCTATTCATCTCTCTGTATAGTTGACTGACCAAACCAAGGACAGGTATGAAGTGCCCCATGAACATGTACAACCCTTTAATAAAAATGCTGCTGCTTCCTTGAACTATGAAGTTGAGGTCTCTAAACAGCCATTTAGCATCAAAGTGACCAGAAGAAGCAACAATCGTGTTCTGTAAGTTTTGAACACCTATCTAGGGAAGATGATGAAGGGAGGTGTGTGGGCTGGGGGAAGGTGCACTTCAATAATATTCTTGACGGTTGTGAGCCCACAATTGTGAATGGACTCTGCCTCCAAATGTATATATATATTTTCTCCCTTCTGTTTGCACCAGCACGTTTTTCCCCTCTGCATTTTTCCCTTCCTTTCCTGATCTATCTAACCATCTGCCCACCGGTAAATATTTACTAATCTGTGATCATAAAATATAGTGTTCTGGTCATGAGATCGGGTATCTGGGGGGCAAATATGAGAAGTGTGCCACATTGTAACTGCCCTAAAGGAATCTAGATGTCTTAGCATCCATGGTAAAACATCACTCGGGGCAAATGGGACTGATTAAATAGAGATATAAAAACCACTTTTTTAGCAGTTATGTTCTCTCCACTGCACTTGCCCAACACATTCCCGTGTTTTCCACCTGTGTCTAGGTTTGACTCAAGCATCGGGCCCCTCCTGTTTGCGGATCAGTTCCTGCAGCTCTCCATCCGCCTGCCTAGTGCTAATGTGTATGGTCTGGGAGAACATGTGCACCAACAATACCGGCATGACATGAATTGGAAGACCTGGCCCATATTTACGAGGGACACAACCCCCAATAAGGTAAGCTTTCAGGATGGGCTCTTTTCATTGAGTATTGTAGCCTCATACTTGAAGGTCACTTCTAGAAGTACAGTGTAAGATTCTGGGCTTGAATTCTGGCTCTGGTACTTACTATTATGTGGTTCTGGGCAAGTTATTTATTTCTCTGTGTCTTCAGTTCCTCATCTATAAAATGAAGGTAATGTATTTATCTCATAGGGTTGTCATGAGGATTAAATGAATCAAAACATATAAAGTATCTAGAAGAATGTCTGTCCCAGAGGAAGTGCTCAGTAACTGCCAACTACTTTACATTATATTTTTCCCTTTGAATTAACCAGTTGGGGACAAAATGTCATTAAAAGCTGTAGTCTGAATAATAGTTGATTATGATGTGCCTAATTTTAGGCTGACCTTTAAAAAATCACTGACTTACCACCCTTGTCAGAAAAGTAGGATAAAGTCCCAGCCAAAGCAATGTATCAATTACTTTTTTGTGAAAAGAATAATTGACATAGGGGTCAAATCATTAATTGTTGCTACTATTTTTAAATTTTATTTTCATTTGTTTGTTTTTTTTTTGATTGTTAAAACTTGAAGCAGCATTGTTTTCTCATCTTAGAAATACTCTATGGTTCAGGACTTGGCTGAGTAAACAGAACTTTGTTAGGGTATGAACTAAGAAGCCTGGATGAAAGGAGATCCCAGCAATAATTTATTAAGGAGTTATTTTATATATTATTTATATATATATCAAAATAATTCAGAAAAATAACAATAATTTACTTATTTAACAGACAAAAATGAGATTCAGAGAAGCCAGTTCAATAGCCAAAGTAAAACAATTTGCACTTAATAGATAAAGAATCTAGTCTGTACTATGTTTCACCTAAAATCCATGCTCATGGCTACCAAATCCCCATCACAAAAGCAGAAAAGAGTGGCGTCAGGACAGCTGGTGATGATCACTTATTATGGAGCCTTAGATCTTTGCCACTCAAAGAGTGAAGCACAGGCAGCACCACGTGAGAGATATGGGCTCTCAGTCCCTCCCGCCATCTAGTGAATTAGAATCCCTTCGTAATTAAGGTGACTGTGTAAGTCATATGTCCACCAAACTTTAAGAAACACTGTTCTAGAGCAATGATTCTTATAACTGACTACACATGGCAACCATCTGGCAAAATTAAAAAGTATAGAAATGTCTACTTCCATCCTAGGGTTTCCCTAGGGAGTCTGGCTTGATACCTCCTCTTCTGGAATCTAGAAAACTAGTCTAGATTAGAGCTCCATCTAGTTGCTGATTCATATAAAGACTTGTAGGACTTTTGCAGATGAGGTTAAGTCAGGTCAAGGTAAGCTTCTTTGAAAGGAGAGTTGTTTGGAATGATAGCTTCAGAATTCTTTCACCTAACAGGTAATCACAACCAGCACATACTTATTAAATGAGTGCTCATAGTTGGCTCATTGCATAAGAAAACTAGTTCACCTGATAAACATCAACCAAATAGAGTTCCTATATTTTAGAATTTATTTGCATCTTCATTAGCCATGAGTGTCCTCACATGATTAGGACTGATTTTTCTAAGCTAATCCAGCAATGTGATGTTTAGACTACTTGGTAGTAAATTTTGGATTTTAATTCTCTTTCTGCAGGATGGAAATAACTTGTATGGTGCTCAGACATTTTTCCTGTGCCTTGAAGATGCTAGTGGATTATCCTTTGGGGTGTTTCTGATGAACAGCAATGCCATGGGTAAAGGACTAAAGGGATAGTCATGAAAAAGCAAACATACAGAAGAACAGTTTTTAAGTCCTTTTCTTACAGCACTATGGTAAAAGGAATGGGTCCCTTTAAGAGTGATTGAGCTATTGCTTAGGGCCTTATGTTCTCTAGTTGTTCTGTCTTTATCTCATTGACCTATTGACCACATAGTAGCCATGTATAAGGGATTATTCTCCTAGCTTCTCACTTCCCTGAATCTGGTTGCCTCCAGTGTATTATTTTCTGTTATAGAGTTAAGATAGCTAAGGGTTCTGTTATAGAGTTGAGATAGCTAAGGGTTACTTCCTTATAATTTTACTTTGAGACAATTTCTAAAAATTGGTTCTTCTTCCTCTTTAAATTTACATTTAGTAGACTCCAGTGGCAGCTCCAGTAGAATCACTGAAGGGTAAAGAGGAGAGGTATCAATATCTCCCAGGGTTGAAGATGGACATAGGATATTGATATCTACCCTCTTCTTAATTGAAGACCATTGGATTATATTAATGCTACTCAAAGTGTGGTCTGTAGATTGCTCACAAGCTGTTTCAGATCCTACAGTAAGATCAGTAAAGAAAATAATAGGAAGTACTGCTGTAGCATCCAAGTGCATGAATGAGCTTTTTGCATAATAATTCATTTTCATGTTCTTTTACAGAAGTATCAGTTTGCAGTGAAGTGAAAATTAAATTTTCAAAAAATATCTTATCCTTCACCACAGTTTGTTTGAGAAGCACTCTAAGTGATGTAAAATGATTCTAGAAAACCTGATAGCCTAAGAATAGATTGAAAGAACACAAGGACTCTGCAGTTTTAGGTAGTTGAAGGAATCAGAAAACAAACCAAGTCAGATTTAGCGAAGCCACAAGATCCTAGGTATTCTGCCTGTGTTATTCCTGCAACCAGAGTATGTCAGTAGAGCTTGAGGTCTTTTGTCCCTACATAGAAACCAAGGCAAAAAAGCAGATTTCTAAGAATGGTGATAGGTGCTTAAAAGGATTTTGAATTTATGATGTAATCTGACTTTTTTCAGCTTGAATCTTGTTTGATATGAGATTCACTGAAGTTAGTACCTCAGTATGTCTATCTGGGTTATATTCTTACCATAAAGATGGAATATGGGTTAGGATAACATGTGGTTGTGAAATTCAGAAAGGGGAAATTTTCCTTCTACCCTCTTAGATTTAATTCTTAGATTTTAATTCCCAGATTTAATTCTGCTGAGACAGATCACCAAGGAAGAGGCAGTTTATTTACAAGTGCTTGCATATAGGAGTGCTTAGTGATGAGTAACTGAAAAGGATGTTTAGATCTTGGTGCTTATCTACCAACTTGTAAGGGAAGGGAAAAAAGATATTTATTCAGAAGTGAGTGACTGTTTGAAAGACAAATAGGCCCTTGGGGGAAATCAATGGGAGATGTAATTGTTTTATGACAATGTCTATTGGTGCTTATTGTTTCAAAGAAAATTAGAGCTGCTCCTAGGAAGGGAATTTATGACAATTGAGTTCTTTTGGAGGTGATGCTTTTAGGCAGATCAGGAATCTCAGTAGCAAATACCTTCAGTCCCAAATAATTATTATGCTCCAATGGCTTATTCTCTATGGTCAGGTAATGAATGATGTAGATTCATCATCCCCCATGCCTTGCTGATTAATATGCTT